ACGTCTCGTCATTTGATCAGAATTACGTTGAAAGACATCTAATTAAAGTTAAAAATTAAATCAGAATTCGGTTAAATTTAATCAAAATATATTTTTAATAACACTAAAAAACGCCGAAACAGAACAAACATTGCTTCTAGGTTTACTTTTAGGCTCCTGCAATGCTAATATTTACACAACTCTACCGAAGGGCATTGCCACTGAATCATTCTAGACTTAGTGATTTGAGTATATCTAAATTTTTCAATATATATATATTATTTAACTTAAAATTTAGACATTTTTTGAAACATTCACTCACATACTGATAAATTTCTCATTAGTTATTTATCATTGATAAACAAAGCGAATTTTTAATAATTACTTTGGAAGAAATTAATTATAAGTAACATTTTTCCACCGTTGTCCCACGAACATATTGACTAACTCGCGACGCGACGCGACGCGCACACATTATCATACGTATTTCTACAGTGTATTAAAAGTTTAAAATACATTTTAGTATATAAACTATTAAAAAAATTGTATAAGTTATTATATTTTTATACAGTATACGCGTATTTATATCTTTATCCTTACTTTAACATTGTTTATGATGTTGTAACATTGTTGAGATCACCTTGAAAGAAAGTAAAAGTTAAAAAATTCGAGTCTCAGAATGATTCTCTACACGACTTACCACATGTCGTGCACACGAGAAGATTCCAATTTACTCAGCTAATGCATTCTTAAGTTATAAGAAGGAGGGGTGAAGGTAAGATGTGATTTTTGTATATGTGACCCCTGTCTTGTTTTCGGAAGTTCGTGGGGGGTTGTACGCCTCCCCCGAAAAAGAAAAATGCCCAAAGCAAATTCTCTGTTGGTGAAATGTTAACATAAAACAAATCACTTTTTACAGACCATAAATCTTTTTTAGAAGAATGTGCAAACAGAACACTTGATTTTGGCATTCCTTACACGATGCTTGAATTTATAGAATTTCCTCTTTTTATTTTACTGTTGTTATCATATTATTTTATTTTATAAAATATCTCCTTATTAATTAAGAAATTATCGTAATATATCGTAATATTGTAGCTTCCGCGTGTCACGTGCCACTACTAGGCACATGCCTAGGAACCCGGGTCTCGCAGGGGCTTGAAATTGGAAAAAGTAAAGCAATTTACGGTTGAATTTGTATAGTAATTTATAAATAATTCTATACAATTAAACGTTATTAGTTTATGATGTAAGATCATGTAGGGGGGATCCAATCGTCTGTGCCTAGGGGTCTTAATCCGCCACTGATTACCATAATTTATAAATAATTATATAGCTATAATTAAACGTTATTATTAATAATTTATGATATAAAATTAAGTAGGGCCCAACAATCTTCTGTGCTTAGAGGCCCCAGAAGGTCATAATCGACACTGATTATCATAATTTATAAATAATTCTACAGCTCCAATTAAACGTTTTTATCGACAGTTTATGATATAAATTCATATAGGGGGGACCCAATCTTCTGTGTCTATGGGCCCCGGAAAAGTCTTAATACGCTACTGATTGGTAGCGTATCGTAAACGTGATATCTTTCTCTATAATAAGTTGTAGACGTAGAATTTATGATGATATCAACTGGATAAACCGATATCATCGTCTAGAATCTAGGTTGAAATGATCATTATACTTGAAAAAAGTAACTTAGATATCGCACTCAATACCCGTTGTAATAGTTTGATATAGTTCTATAGTGATATCAAAAATGTATTATATAAATTGTAACAATATAGTATATCAGATAAACGATGATAGACTTAAGACACGTGACTCAGATATATCTTAATTAATGCACTTATATAGAGAATAGGAGATTTATAAGTGATTACATTAATAATGAATTTTTTAAGGGTGATTTGAAGATAAATTGTGTATATCTTTTTAAGATATCTTAGAAGTTTAAAGTAGCAATTAAGGATTTAGAAAACATATAATAGACATTGAGTACGATGTAATTATAGTCTTAGAATGCTATAATTATTGAGGTATCATGGATTAAGAATAAAATTTTATTGTATATCTTAAGAAAACTATAACATACAGCAAGATATCATCAACAAATGAATAAAATCTTACTCTATATCATATAATAGACTAGCCATAGAGCAAAGGTGCTAAAGCCAAGGGGGATAACAGTAGGTAGCTACTTGTATCCCCCTTTTTGTATGTGTCTACAGACCAGCCTTGAAGTTTCCTACGGTGAGCTTCCTGGCCAGTCTATTATATGAACTGGTAAGTAGGAAATGAAAAGAAGTTTTACTGTATATCATAAAATCATAATGTGTCTTTACGATAAACAATACACCTGACTCTTCAACATTATTAACAAAAAAAGCATAATTAATGTCTTAAAAACGGATCCCAATTTAAATTTAATATAAATAAACTTGATTTAAAGCATACATAATTCATTTACAAGCTATAAATTTTAATATTGAACAGCTAAAACATTAATTAATTAATATTAAATAATAAATTAAACTTGATTCCAAGTAAACAAGTTATTACTTTAGGGTGATTCTATCAAACGTAGTTACTAGAATTTCTATTTTTTTTTTTTTTAATCTTAAATATGTTCATTCCTAAGGACGAACGTGTTTATCCTGTTTTAGAAATGCGAAAGTCTCATTTGACACATGCCTTTAGGGAAAAGATCGCAAAAGGTCAACCACTCAAGCAGTCCTAAATGCATTCTTTCCTCCTCCTTTGTTTAATTTCCAAAAGATTATGACTTCCAGTCACGTGTCTTCAGGCAAAATAAATAAATATTTCGTGAAAAATTTACTGTCTTCACTACTTTCTATAAACAAATATATCATAATTATATATTTTTATTATTTTACTTCATGTAAACATAATTTTACTGCCTGTTAACTTATTCATTTCTCTTATTTGTTTGTGTTTGTTATACAGAACTTTTGAGAAATTCTCCTAACAACTTAATGTCATGATTTTCGAGTGTTTGACTGCTTAATTTCTCTTCTAATTTGGGAAATATATTGAAAATTAATTCATTAATAACGTATCTTTCGAGAAATTTAATAAAATTTAACAGATAATTTTCATTTTATTGATATTTTAAGCGCTTGTGTACGGTATGTCATATACAAACACCATAAGGTACAGAGGTTCTGTCAACTCTTCCTTAAGAAAAATTAACAAATTTACTTGATTATGGCACGAATTTAGGATTTAAATTAGCTTCTACTCGTTTTATAACGCTTATAACATTAAAAAAATTAATTAAATTACAAAAAATAACGTATATTTTATAATATAATTTATACTCACTTCATACTAGAATAGGATTTAAGTATTTATTTACTTCTATACTATTCATTTCCTGTAAATTATGTAACTTCAAGGTAGTTTTTTTTAAAATAGGAGAAGCGCTTAAATTTTACGAAATTTAAATAATTATTCCTCCTCCTTTTTAAACAGAAAAACATCCTTTATTACTAAATTATTCCGCGTGTTTATGTGTAGTGTTATTCATAAAAGTCTGGAGGACAAATATAATTTCAAACACGTTTAAAATATAATAAATTATTAAAGTAAATCATGCAACGTTGTCAGATGTTGAAGCTCGTTAGTAAGAGAAAGAAATGGTGCCAACACTTGGCATAACACCAAAAGAAAAATGCCTTTTATTTTTCCTTTCTCTCCCCTTTCTCAAGGTCGTTCCTTCGTGTAGTGTCAGCTAACCACTTTTGTACATTGAACCTTTTATGTATAAAGGTGTTTGATCATATATCATAAGAAGCAGATCGTGCAGAAACCGGCACGTTATAATACAAACAAGACATTTCCTATTCTTTAAAAGTTGCATCTGAATATTAAAGCGGCTTCTTTGATTTTTCCTACTTCAAGGAAGTCCATCCCTCAATAACGTATCGCTCTTCATTAAAATGATTAATGCTGTGTGTAAAATAACACTTTATAGATATAAATCAAAAGAAAATTTAAGTAATTAGTTTTATTATTTCGGAATATTAAACAGGCAGATTCTTATTTATTTACGTGTTTATTAAGAAAATAATGCTCTTGGAATGCTTTAAATTATTCTTTTTTGTGTGTGTGTGTGTGTTTTTTTAAGCCGTTTGGTGAACAATTAATTTAATTTTTATTGTTAGTAATTTCGTTGTATAGTGAACAGACAGACAGACAGACAGACAGTTTTATACGTAGTTTTCTCGTTCGTTTAATTATAATTTTTGTTAATTTTTTATTATAACACTATTTATTAATAACATTTGTTTCATTATTGTGTAATTTTAATTGTTGGTTCAGTAAACTGTTTTGTCTGTTTCATTATATTGTCTTTATGCTTTTGTATTTGTTTCATTACATTATTAATTCTAATTGTTTGTTTCATTATAATATTAGTTTTTAATCTTCTGTTTCATTAGAGTTTCAGTTTTTTGTATTTGTTTCATTGCAATATTATTAATTTTAATTGTTCGTTTCGTTGTATTGTTACAGTTTTTTCTGTTTCTTTCGTTATAATGTTACAATACTTTTTCGTCGTTCGCTTCATTACGATGTTAATTTTTTTTTCGCTTCATTATAATGTTACTTTTTCCTGTTATTAACGCATTTTTTTCCCCCTTGTATCATCGTTCTACGTTTTATGAAGTCGATTTGAGTTTAAATTGCTTCGATTTCCAGAAAGGAGGGATTGTAATAAGGTGTCAAATCTGGCATATTTTTGGCAAGTGTCCAGTCTTTTCTTGTGATAAGGCTAAATCTAATGCCTTATTCGGTTTATTACAGTACTCAATGCTGCACACTGACTTCCTTTGGATCAATGCACCTAACTTGGCCATTCTATTCTTACTATAGAGAAAAATCTTATTGAAATGATTAGATGCTGTAACTAATAATAAAGATAATAAAACGAATTCTTCGTCTTATATATATATATTTTTTTTAACATATAATTTTATTTAATTTTACAGTTTATTCAAGAAATCGTTGACTGGTTCGGAAGATTTCCAATAATTTGTCTCTTATAAAAATAAAAATAAAGGTGAGTTTTTTTTTTAAATTTAATAATATTAACTTTATAACTTTATTTTATTAATACTTCGTTTTAATTATTTTAAAATGCTTTATAATGATTTATATACTGTAAAGTCTGTCCATAACGCTTCATATATTTCACTACTAATTTAATACGCGTAGATACAGTTAATAGTATTTTTTCACTTCCTTAATGCCAGATTATGTATGAAATTTTATTATTGTTTCTGTTTTTAGTTTATAAACAATATGGGGACGATTTAGCGACGCGTCGCGTCGTCGCGCGCGCCGATGCGAAAACAATAATATTTCGAACATTTTCCATTACAAAAAGTATATATTACTATATAAAGTATTTTTATCATCGAATATTATAAAATAAACCTTAAACTTTCCTTATTATTTTGGAGAAAACGTCTTAACGTTTACAGACGTCGACTCCTTCAAGGTCTGGTCTCGACGCGCTCGCAATACGAAATATACATTGAAGGATGGAATTAAATTAAATTTTCCTTATTTTTAAACGAAGAAAGGAGCAATTAAAATTTTTAAATTAAAGTGAAAAACAAAGAAATTTCGTAAATAATTCGAGAAAATTGACCGTAAATTTCATCGAAATTATTTAATTTTTGTATAAGTTAGCAGTTAACATAACGTTATTCAGAAGATAAACAATTTTATTTTATAAAATATAGAAGAAGAAGTGGGAAGAAAGATTTATTTTTCATCTTTTTCTCCTTTAGTTGTACAGAAATAAACTCATCAAATGTTTCTTGGAATCCATCAGAGAACATCCAGTGACAAAAATTCACTTCAATTTCATGAAAAACAGGGGGGAAAAATAATAATAATAACCCTAGAGAAAAAGTAATAAAGGCAAATTATTTCGATTTATCACTTGAAAGATTGCAAAATTCCCCTTTCATTTATTTATTTTTTATATACCAAATCAACTAAAATGTTACGTTAAACCTTAATTTGTGTTATAAAAATAATATTGTACCAATCAAAATTAAATTAGAATTCTTACAAATGCTTTAAGTAGGTTATAGTGATATAAAATAGTAAAAAAAAAAAGTTATATGATACTGCTGAAAATATAGATATTTTTATTGTAATAATTGTAATGTATTACTGTGTGCATAGTCGTATATTGCAGCAGTTGTGTGCATAGTTGTATATTGTAACAATAGCTGTACTATATTACTAGTCTTTATATTGCAATTGTATTGATACTATACTAATATAGTACTGTATGCATAGTTATACATTGCAGCAATAGTTATGTAGTTGTGTGCATGGTTGTATATTGTAACAATAGCTGTACTATACTACTAGTCTTTATATTGCAATTGTATTGATACTATACTACTATAGTACTGTATGCATAGTTATACATTGCAGCAATAGTTATGTAGTTGTGTGCATGGTTGTATATTATAGCAATAGCTGTACTACACTATTATAATCTCTGTGCCTATTGTTTATTGTAGTAATAATAATTGTACTATGCAGAATTAGTTTGAAACCAGTCTGAAGCATATTTTTCTCTTAAAAAAAGTCATAAAATACGAAACTCTGTGTACTCATATAGAAAAACTGATTCGTCTCCTTCAAAGAGGATCCCGTTCTACGCCCAAAAATTACATTAAAAAATGACTTTTTAAGATAGAATATTTAAGAAAATCAATAAATAATAGTAATAATTATTTAATTTAATAATTCTTTAAGACAAAATAAACGCGAAATTAATTTTATTTTACGAATTTTATGATGAATTCACTTAACAAATATATTGTTGGGGTTATGTAAATGTTAGTTTAATGGTTCTTAAATGTTTAAGAATCATTAAATTAACATTGTATAACCCTAAAAATATTCACGAAGAGAGAAGATTTAAATTATAGATCATTAATTTTTCAAATGTTATATGAATGAGACCGTTATTAATGCATTAAAACTGTAATAATAATATTAAAAATAATTAAAATTATATTAAATATAATATACTTTTTAAAGTAACATTTTATAAATTATAAATTTATATATTATTGTAAAATGTTGGAGAAAGCATTAAAAATTGAAAATTAATTCAAATTAATAGGCCTATATATGATTTATT